TGTGACTCTGCCTGTCAGTAGACTGTATCATAATGCATCATACTAAAGGGCAGTATTAAGTATACAAGAGAACCATCTTCAGCACTACAACGCTCTACTCTGTGAGCTGAAAGAGCAGCCCTGCTAGCTCAGCCATAGGGGATATGTGTGATGGTGCAAACAAACTGGCATTCCAGTCTCTGGGTTTCTGGGTGCTGCTGTCTAGACCTACCACCACATTCTCTGTTATCCTGAGGTCCCTGATGCTGTTGTCTAGAGGCCCAGTGCTGCATTATGCAGGCACACACATGTAAAAATAGCTTCTGAAAGCAAGCCTGTCATGTGAAACATCTGGTGCTCAGTGGAACCGTTGGAGCGGGAGAAATACCTGGGCGAGGGCAGGCATTCTGGCTATGTGTGCGTTTGAGCTCTGCAGTGAATTATGGCTCACAATTTACAAGCTGTCCAGGCTTTCAATTCCACAGAAGATCAAGGGGCAGAATTTCCCTGCTTCTTGAGCTGTTCTTTGCACCTCTGTGGATGCAACTAAACCAACCCTGCTGGGGCAGCTTTTATTTCTGGTTCAGAAAGCTTCTGCCGAACTGCAATGTATTGCCTTTTGAATGCATCAGGCTGCACCCAATGACTTGCACTTGTATTTTCAAAACATCCCAGCAGAAGGGAGGGGCTGTAGGTAGGAGATTAGAGTGATCAGCTGTCCCGATTTTATAGGGACAGTCCCAATATTTGTGGCTTTGTCTTATTTAGGCATCTATTACCCCTCATTCCCATCCCGATTTTTCACACTTGCTGTCTGGTCATCCTAGAGGAGAGACTCCCTAGCTTCCTACTAGGACATCTCTGCCCCTTCTCTTTAATTAATCTCTCAGTTCAGACACTGGGCCTTTCACTCCTGCAACCACAAGAGAGTCATGCTACATAGCACCCATTAGAAAAACTCCAGATTTCCACTGTAGGAGCCCCTGGGGATGCTGCATGACGGGGACAGTCTGGAGGCGATCAGGGCAGGCATCACTGTGAGTGTGATGGTAACTTTGAGGTGGGGAGTGTCCCACCTCATAGTACATTCAGCACAACAAAGGAACCTCAAACTATGTCAATAGTTACATGTCCTGGAACCAAGACTAGCTTTAAAAAGAGGCTTTTAATTGTGTTCATTAAGGTATATAGGATTGGAAGCGTCACTGGGCAAGCGTGCCAAAGTAGCTTGTCTTTATAGCAGGGTAAAATATAACAGATTCATACAACAGCATCATCTGGTGACAAGGGATGGAATTATGGTGCCACCTGGTGAAGAATGATAGGGTTATAGCACCATCTGGTGGGCGTTGCAGGGCTAGCTCCCACAGAGTAATGGGATTACAAACAAATCCTTACTCACCCGTTTGTTCCCTTTCACAATAAGCCCATAGGTACAGGATGTTCCTCAGGTATTTGAATTGTTAGAAAGAATAAGCACTTGAGTCAATTGCTGCTCATTCAAGAATTATAGCTAAATAAAATCTCACAATTTACAGGCAATACAGAGCTGCTGCATTTAAAACTAAAATTAGAACAGATATATTGGTGTAACCACCGTGCTCTTGACAAGGATTGTTTCATTTTGCCAGTGTTGTACCCACTAAAGCTGTGGCATATTCTCTGGAAGAGGAGCATTAAATCTTTGCCGATGTAATGTTTGGTATTGCAAACCCATAGGGCTTTAGCCATGTATGCTATATTTGTTTTAGTGTAGTGTACATAGGAGGATGCTTGGGTAAATTGATGCTATATAAATAACATTTTATGATTACTAATCATCTTTGTTAATGGGGTCCATTATTCCTTCAGTTTGTGCAGTCTCTCTTAGCGGCTCATTATTCTTTAAGATAGGGGTACTTGCTATATGGCCAATTCTCCATCTGACAATCGTCTGCTGTGTCTGATTTTGCCATGTACATTTCAAAAATAATTTCATGTTTTGGAAGGGAATAGCTGATGCCAAATCCTTTGAAACCTCACTATCGTGATTCTTGAACGTGTCACTATGCAACCTTTATTCCTCTGTCAAAAGACAGCCATCCTAGCTAATTAAAATAATTCTCTGTGCAACCAACTTAAATTGCAATGAGACAATGTGGATGAGGTACTGTCTTTTATTGGCTCAACTTTAAAGAGACACACTTTTGAGCTTATACAGAGCTCTTCTTCAGGTGTGGCACAGCTAAATATATGGTGGAACAGACTGAATGGCAATGGGCAATCCTAAATGGAATGAGTTTAGATACATGAGTAAGTCAAGTCAAGAGCCTACTTCCACAATAAGGGCCAAACTTTGCCCTCATTTACATCCATGTAACTCCACTGATTGAAGGAAAAACAGAGCTATAGATGGTGGCACAACATGGGAACAACCTAAAGGTGTAAGACAGTAGAGACAGTGAATGTTATGTCCATAAATCAGGAATAATCTCATTGAGAGGAAATAGACAGAAACTCATTGTGATTGGCTAAAAGATTATGTAATGCCATCAAACATCAATCACTTTCAATTAAATTCTTCAATGAAACATCAAAAACCCAATCCATAGTTACTTAAGTCATTGATTTCTCTCATAGTAAAGTGAATTCTCCATATCCCTGTACAGATAATTGACATTTAATGCACCCTGGGTTTTGGGGCAGTATTGATCTGAAAAAAGAAATCCAGTAAATGTTTCTTTTCTAAGAATGGGGAAAAGGAGAAGCAGATTAGAATTCTTGTTGCCTGGATTTGTGTCTTGTGCTAATATTGCAGTGCACTCAAAACTCTTTTTCTTGGTGTGGATATGCCAAATAAGATAAATCTTGGTCTAAGGCTAAGGCATCTCCACTACAATAGACAGCCACCTCATAACACCAACTGGGGTCTGCTGTTTGAAAAAAACATTACCTTACTCCCTCTCAATTCACCCCAAGGCAAGGCAGTGGCGCGTGCCCACACACACAAACAAATCAGACACACAAGAAAAGGTTGCGCTCTGTGTTTAGAGAAATATCCATAAATGTTGGTGGTAGGAAGAATATGCATCAGTGCTAAGCGATCTACAATAGTCTGCTGTGCCTGTCAGTTCTCCCACAATGTGCCGCCAATGTCCCATGCTAGATGAAAGTCAGACCTGCTAAAGTGTTTGCAATCATGTCACCTACTAGTGGCTTCTAGCTCACAGAGGGTAGACTCAATACACCGCACAAGCAACAGCATTTCAAAGATTATTGCTTGTCAATGTTCATTTCCATAAAAGATTCAGAGTGAAATTCACCCATGTGCACAGGTCCAATGCACCACTTAAGCCCTGAGATAGCACCCATTCATGCAGTGTTCTGGAAACACTAAGAATCAAAACAGCAGGGGATTTGCCCTTGTGGTTAGGAATGGGAAAAACTTGATGACATAAAATGTGTCTGCTTCTGGGAAATGGTTTCATTAATGGGGGATGGCTTGAAGCACTCAGGGCTAAAAGAGGTCACAGAGTAACATCCATGGGAGTTCTGTGCTCATCACTTTTGCCATTGTTCTTCCAAACAGAATAAATATGCATTATTAATTATCCCACATCTATCTGCATACAGCTGTGATAGCCAGGAGAGAGAGACTGTTTGTTCAGCCATTATGGATACAACTTTGAGAGATCATTTCTGAATTGCAAGCAGTGAGGAGACAGGATTTGTGGGAGGAGTAAGAAATGAACAAGCCAAGGCCCTAAACAAGATGCCATGACACAGGTGAGATTCAACAGTGAGGGAAGGGGTTATAGCAACTCCATGAAAGAGCTCCCTGTGCCACAAAAATGTTCCATCCTTGGTTCTCTCTTCTCGCTTTCTCACACACACACAAAAAAGAAAAAAAAAACACTTTTTTTGGTGGGGGGGGGGGGTAAGATTTGTAGATTTTATTTACTTGGGGGATTTCTATAGTAACACCAAGGGAAACCACTGCTTACATTGAGCGCTTTCTACACCGGCTGTGAGGTGCCCATAGGTGTATTCTCAGTGTTGATTTAAACCACGACAGCAATGAGACAATGCTTAGTCTTGCAGAATAAAATATCTCAAATGGTTAACCCAAATTCACAACCCAGCCCCATCCAGCTGCTTGAAGATCTGCAGTTTAATCTGCTTGGTGGCAAAGTCTCATTTTTCATGTTCTCTCTTCCCTTTCCTCCAGTAGAAGCAAAGCCTAAATCCGGTGCTGCAGAAGATATCAATACTGTCCATTAACACTCTTGGTGTTGCTATTCACAGGTCTTAATAAACTATGTGCAAAAACTCAGCTGCCAGCACACGTGCCCACTTAAAGAGGCATGGCCTACTCTTCTGAGATTAAGGGTGCTCAGTATTTTTATGAAGTCAGTGGCAGCTGGAGGTGCTCAGTGCCTCTGAAAATCAGCTCACTGCAATTCAGCTCTCAAAAATCCATATCAGCTCAGCTGTATTTTTTCTCCTTTGATTTTTTTTAAGTGGTAGTTACAGCACATAATGTAACAAGAACTACTTGGAAAGCATTATTTGTGGCCAGCATCTCAGATGGAAGAAAAGGACTGGCTCATCACAGAAAAGGGGGCAGATAGAGGGAGTCCCCTTTTCATGAAATTATAAACATCTTAGCAGTGCCTAAACACTGACTTTGTGTTTAATAAAGTAGAATATTGTTCAGTGTTTTGAAAATGTAAGCTACAATTGATGTGGATTTGGGTAATTAACTTTGAAACATTTAATTGCAATTGACAGGTGCTGACATCTTATAGCAACTGGCATAATTTGAGACACTAGCAGGACACACTACGCTCAGTCCCAAAGGCTGTGGCTTTTCAGCAAGGTGGGAGGCTTGTAATGAAATTTTTAAAAGTCTTATATTTGAACAGTTGATTCCTGGAGAGAACATTTCTGCCCAGACTGCAACAAGGGGACGTAGAGGGAGCTTTAACAGATAACTGCAAATCAGGGCTGCTCCAGCATCTCCAAAATGATCTATTTTTTTATTTTTAAAAAAATTTCATTTTGTGTTTAGGACAAATCCTTCCCTTTTCTGCCCTTCTGCATTTGTACAGAATGTGCCCATAAGCAGCAGGTAACTTGTGGGGACTGAACCCAGATTGTGTGTACACAGAACCCAGGTAACTGTGCAAAGTGTTTGAGTGTTCTCTTAATGGCCATAGAAGCCATATTCTATTGAGAATCTCTCTTCAGGTGTGAGGAAGCTCCTCTTATTTGCTGTAATTATGGCCATCTGTGACATTCCCGTTGAGAACTGCTGCAATTCCATGCAGATTACACCTTAACGTTCATCATGCCAACTGCACCATACATACTTTATTGCACATTGCTAAAACATATTTGGGGTTTTTTTTGCAAAACACCACAACACAGTGTACAGAACAAACAATTTAACTCTGGTAATTTATTTTGTCACATCACAAAACATGAGCATTGTATATTTGATTTTTCTAATTGGAGTGATCTCCACCTAATGGAATAAAACTCCTCTTACTGAACACCAGGAGCTCCAACCTTCCAACCAAGATAAAGGAAAAGAACCTGCTCGGTAAATAACTTTGTGCCCTGTACATTTTCCTCTCTAGTATCCTGTACAGAAAGCTGTTTAGCTGTAACCCTTTTTTCCAACTCCAGTAGTACAGGAGCCTTAAAGTGTACATCAAAGGAGATAAGAATGGCTCGTTGACAAACCTGTAAAATTGCTAATCCCAGTGGATGGAAACAGAGAGCTGAGATTTTTAACAGAAAGCCAGTGCAGGTTGTGTTTGTATAGATCAGTGCCATATACGTAGATCTATAGGTATAGATCTGGATTTCTTTTTAAAGTGTGTGGGTTGTACTAAGCTTCAAAGTTACATTTTAGACTTTCAATTCCAAATTCCCATAGAAAACACTGTAGGGTGGAAGCTGCCCATATATGTTTAGGTTTGGGATATCACAGAACAGGAGGTTACCAATTTCCAATAATAAACACATGGAAGTTACCACCCAGGTCTGTTCTATTTTCAGTTTTACACATTGGCAGAGCCCATGACATGGATGCATGAACAAAATTATTTGAGCACAGTCAAACTAGTAAAACTAATTTTAATAAAACTGGAGAAAGTAAAATTCCTGCTGTTTGTACTCACTCCTGCATCAGGGATTTTAACTGGCCCTGACAAGGGAGAGTTCATTGTAAATATTTAAATAACTATAAAGCATTGCCACTCTCACCTCTATTGCAATGATTCCTTCTTGTCAGAAGAAACATACATGTGACAGAAGATTTTCAAGTCAAAGATTGCATAATACTCAGCATTTATATAGTGCTTTTAATCTTCAAAGCACTTTCTAACCATTAATTAATCCTCAACATCCCTGTGAGGTAGGTAAGTATTGTTTCCATTTTATAGGAGAAAGGTGACCAGCCCAGTGTCATACAATGAGTCAAAATGGAACTGGAACACAGTAGTTACTGGCTACTAGTTCTGCATTCAGATCCTACCTCTCAAACTCTGAACTAGTTTTGCAAAATGTTTGCCATTTACAGGAAACCACTTGTTCACCGTACGCAGTTGCAACGACACCCATTCATGAACGAATTTCTGGCTGTACTATGTGTTGCTGTAGTGTGACATGCAGAACTGTTGCAGTTCTGTTGTAAACAACTGTGTCTTAGTTGCATGGACAAAAGATGATGACAACAAAAAAGTACAAAAAGGTTTGTGAATATTAAAGCAAAGTCCCAAACATCATACTCTTCTCTAAATTATAAACCCTGCCCCTGTAGTAGTGAAATGGCTGGGACATTTTTGGTTCAGTCTGAAGCATGAGAACAGTGTCTGCAAACAACAATGATATTTTAGAGGACTCATTACCTACTGGAGTTGCTTTTTTAGTAAACAATCAAACAAACCCAAAACATTCCTGCAAAGCAAAAAGCAATTGGTTTTTTTCTTGTTGTATTGGGTCTGGCATGGTAGATTTATTTGCTCTGTGACAGGTTTGTATCCTAAAGAGAAATATATCTTCTCCAAAGCTCTAACTGGATCTACTCTGACAAAAAGCAAAGTGCTGTTATTTAGAGATAAAACTTTTATCAGCAAATCCAGAAGAGGCATTCTTGGTTACAGCTAAAACAGTTTAATCACTGGTACTGCACCAGGTTCCTACTTACCTATTCTTCTGTGCTTAAAAATATATTTCTCAATGGTCACGCCAGTAATAATAAAATAATATATGGAGATATACCTGTCTCATAGAACTGGAAGGGACCTTGAAATGTCATTGAGTCCAGCCCCCTGCCTTCACTAGCAGGACCAAGTACTGATTTTGCCCCAGATCCCTAAATGGCCCCCTCAAGGACTGAGCTCACAACTCTGGGTTTAGCAGGCCAATGCTCAAACCACTGAGCTATCCCTCCCCCCACAGCAGCAGTGGGCAGCTCCACTCCAGTTTCAGTAAAAATGCACATTATTTTTTGGTACTTTGTCAATTTCATCTTATGATGGACGAAATCTCTATTTTTTTTTTCCTTTCAATAAGATCTGGCACCTACAGTCAAAGAGATGCACTGAGAAGCATAACATGATTATGGAATTAAATTTAGAACTAAGAGCTCTTCTCAGACAGCTGCAATCTGCAGAATACTGTGCAACATTAAAGGACTTAAACTGAAAGAACAGATGAAAGACTGGAGGAGCACGTGACATCACAAGTTATACTCTAACTATACTTTTCAAGAGTATGAGCAGAACAAAGAGAATGGATAGGAAACAAGGAATCAGTTTCATGTATGACTCAAACTACTCAGTAATTCACTATAGGATATAATGTTTCAGAGCTTGCTTTTGGGTTAATTCGTTTCCCACAGGCATCTGCTATTCATCCTCAATAGACACCAGATCTGCCAAGTTTGAACACTGAAGACCTGGTTCTGATCTCACTGACACTGGGGTAAATCAGATGTTATGCCACTGAAGTTAGTGATGTTACATCATTGCAAATGAACTCTGAAAAGGTCCTATAAACAGATGAAAAATATCTCCATATTTTTCTTATCTTTCTTGATTTCCAGTTCATTTTAGTCATATGCCAACAGTGAGCAGCAATCTCTCCACCTGCTTTTAGGTGGTTCATCAAGACAATACAGAGCTGTGCAAATCCTATCATCACCACAAAGCAGATGGACTCTACTATTCCAACAAAAAACACTGAGATCCTTCCTGGATGTTTCTGATCACACTCCCACTAACTAAACAGATCAATCTAGGAGCATCTGTGGAATAAAAAAATCTAATGCCTAATAATAATTTCTTTTTAGATCACTCATTGGGTTGGAGCCCTACCTTCTAAATGCCAAATTAAAGCCAAAGAGAGAGAGTGTGTGTGTTGTGTTGTGTGTACATATTTTCTATATTATTTGGATTCATATTTGCAATACACTGATGTAGGTAAAGAGATAAAAGCTCTATTCCATCAATAGAAGTAGAAAAACAGCTTTATCTGTAAACAAGATTGTATTATGCAAAATGGAGAATGAGTAATGAAGAAAAGATAAGGCAGGTGCTCCTTTTCACCATCTTTCATAATACCAGAAAAATGGGCAACCAAGGAAATTAAAAGGCAATAGATTTAAAAATCTGATCAACAGGAAAGACTTTTACACAAACATAATTAACCTGTGACACTCACTACCACAATATATGAAAGTCAGGGTTTTTTAAAAATCAGACATTTATACTGATAGTGAAAAGTATCCCCAAATGCGTTAGATATGATAAAATTCTATAAAGGATGTAAACCCTCCTGCTTCAGGGCAAATGCCAATCACTAAATGCACAGGATTCAGTAGACAGGGTAAGTATGTACTGAATTCCATGTGCTGATTCTTCCATAATTATCCATTGAGGCCATTTTTCTGTGGAAGCATCTGGTTCTAGCTGCTGACAGAGACGGGGTACGGGGCTAGCTGGACTATTTGTTTGGCTATCCCTATCCTATGCAAAGAAACTGAAGCAAGCCCTGTTTTTGACTAAAGAAGTCACATATGGAGTCATAGGACGAGTGACCCAACCCACAACTTTCTTGAAACCAAACTAAGTGTAAGAAATATTAAAATAAAAATAGATCAGGAAATGACACACAGTTAAAAAAGAAATCGAATACACAAAAAGAACAACCTAGTGCTGGGCACTGTGTGCATCAATAATACAAGAGCTTTTCTTGTTAAAATGTTATCCTTTAAATACATAAAATCACACAGAAAAACTGAACAAGTATATGCAGGGTTCTGACAGCATTACCAACAACTCTGGGGGTGCACCGGGGAGGCCTTGAGCACATGTATAGCACTTTGCTAGCCTTTAAAGTTATGTTTGCACACTCAGCCAACATACAAACTGTAAACGAAGCAGCTCCCACTCCAGATACTGCAGTGACTCAATGGGGCAGCGTCTAAGAGAGGCCAAAGATATCAACCACTTGGAAGTAAATGTTTGCCATGCCCATGTGATGGACAACAGGGTCTCATTTCTGTTTAAACACAAACAGTGCAATCCTATTTCAAGCCAGAATGTGCTGTCCCTCACAATGGGCATCTTACAATAAGCAATCAGTGTGTGTGCTTCTTGAAGGGAAAAGATTTCAGTGAGGAGAAAGATTTCAGGTTCAAGCTTTCCAGGGTCAATATAAATAATAGTGAGGTTAAAGAAAAAAGAACCTGAAATTCACTAAAATCCCTCATGAGCAGCCAGTTCACATGGTGTGTGTCTTCTGTTCAGGTTCTTATACCACACCAAGTATCAACATACCTAAGCACTCCCATTCTCTGCTCCTCACTTTCGATTCTTTCCTTTGATACTGGCTCTCTATATTTTACTTTTCTCTCTGAATTTTAAGATGAAAAAATACAGCATTTTTGTTTCTACTTAATAATAAACACAAACAACAGATACACAAACTCTATTTACAAGGGTACTTGTATTAATATCAGACTCTGGATGGCTTTACTGCCACACTCAAGCCCTGTATGTATATTGTATTGTATATATCCATACCACACACAAAGCTATACACACTAATAGGGGTGAGTGCATCTGTGTATTTGCATATATACTTCTCTATCTTTGCAAGCTCCTACACTCAGACTTTAGGCACCTGTGAGTGTGTGAGATACACTTTTAAAAATACAGTACTTCAATTAAAAGCAAGTGAAGGGAGGCGCGTTTCTGCTCTTGGGCACCCATGCGGCTGAGCTGCACTGATGGGATTCAAGAACATGAAGCTTAAATAAATGACATCCAAAGTCAATGCAAAGCACGTATGTCATGGGACCTCCAGTGGGCTCTGAAACAAACACGTGATGACAGCTGATACGGTGTTGGAATTATCCCTCTAAAGAGCTTCCTTTAGTGCAACAACTCCTAGGAGTGATGGAGCTTTGTGCTGTTTTAAAGGACAGACCCAGACATGTGGGAAGATACTTTCACTAGACAAGAAGGGACTCTGCCTCCGTCACACCGCATGACCTAGCCTAGCAGTTTAAATTTGGGTATCTAAAGCACCTAACGTGCACCCTTTGACAGTCCGGAGAGCCCCTCTGAGAAAATGCAGCTCCTCTGTTTAGGGCTTCAGTTTGCCCTCCTTCACTAATCTCTCATTGAGTTGGCAGAGCTGCTTCAGGAAGCCATCATTGGGCCCAATCTCCCGCTTCTGCCGGACAGCGCTCACTGCGGACTTGACATTCATGTTCTGGCGAAGCATCAGATAAGCAATGACCAGTGTCGGGGAGCGGCTGTAGCCTTCGCGGCAGTGCACAAACACCCGGCCTGTACAGGGAGAACATACAGAAAACAACAGATTATAACAGACTATCGTGGGAAGCACTACAGAAACACCTTTGATGGAAGAATGAATGAACAGAGTAACATTGGTCCTTCAGCAGCCCAGTGACTGAATTTTGAGTGATCTCAGCTAGAAGACAGGTACTGTGTCTCTGTTAGCAGCCACGCCATCATCCAGCAGACTGCAAAACAATGACACATAATAAATACCTGTACAAATTAAAGCAGAAAATATCATATTTGTTTCCAAAGAGAGAGGAATTGGACTCCTTCCATTTGGTAAGCTCCTGCAATCTTTCGGCCTAGAATAAGGTTAGCAGCCTGCAGGACTCCCTAACTTCATCTTCTGCAGAAGGACCAATGTGGTAGAGAAATTAAAAACACAGAATTAAAAGTATGCAAGACTGCAGATGCATGGGATAAACAGAGACTCGGTTGTTGTTTGGATACAACACATTTCACAAAGCAAGATACACATCCTTTATGCTGTAATCCTAGCACTTCCTATGTCTCTACCTCAGTTACACCTTCCCCTGCTACTGCTGGTCTCTGCTTCTGAAGTCACATTAGCATGTAAGCGCTCTCATTTTAGAGAAGCTGCCCATTCAGCAAACAGGATACAAATGAAAGTGCTGACTACACAGCACCACTAGCCAGCAGAACCCAGTTACAAAACATACCTGCACCAAGAGCAAACAGAATGCGGCCAGCTGACTGATACAGGATTCTGAATGCTTTACTCCAGCTATTTGTGGTGAATGTGCTGTAAATAAATAAGAAATGAAATAAAATATCACCTCCATTCTTCCTGTTTGAAATCTGGCCCAAGTTGGTTTGCTCTCAGGTTGCTACTCACTGGCCCATGTTTCCAAAGACAGAACCTCTTCCTAGACACAGGGAAGAGGGGAGATGCTGACCCTAACAAACCCATTGCTGAAGCAAGAGGACAGAGGAGTCACACATTTCTCTCATGAAAGCCAGTTTACTGTGAACTGCGGCAGAGAAAAGGCTCTTAGCATATTTGCCTTGGGCTATTGAGATCCTTGAGAGACTTTTTAGGAACAAGAACAGGAGTACTTGTGGCACCTTAGAGACTAACAAT